GCTCTGAAATTGAGGCAATAATTAATAGCCTACCAACCAAAAAAAGTCCAGGACCAGATGGATTCACAGCTGAATTCTACCAGAGGTACAAGGAGGAGTTGGTACCATTCCTTCTGAAACTATTCCAATCAATAGAAAAAGAGGGAATCCTTCCTAACTCATTTTACGAGGCCAACATCATCCTGATACCAAAGCCTGGCAAAGACACAACAAAAAAAGAGAATTTTAGACCAATATCCCTGATGAACATCAATGCAAAAATCCTCAATAAAATACTGGCAAACCGGATTCAGCAACACATCAAAAAGCTTATCCACCATGATCAAGTGGGCTTCATCCCTGGGATGCAAGGCTGGTTCAACATTCGCAAATCAATAAACATAATCCAGCATATAAACAGAACCAAAGACAAGAACCACATGATTATCTCAATTGATGCAGAAAAGGCTTTTGACAAAATTCAACAGCCCTTCATGCTAAAAACACTCAATAAATTCGGTATTGATGGAACGTACCTCAAAATCATAAGAGCTATTTATGACAAACCCACAGCCAATATCATACTGAATGGGCAAAAACTGGAAAAATTCCCTTTGAAAACTGGCACAAGACAGGGATGCCCTCTCTCACCACTCCTATTCAACATAGTGTTGGAAGTTCTGGCTAGGGCAATTAGGCAAGGGAAAGAAATCAAGGATATTCAGTTAGGAAAAGAAGAAGTCAAATTGTCCCTCTTTGCAGATGACATGATTGTATATTTAGAAAACCCCATTGACTCAGCCCAAAATCTCCTTAAGCTGATAAGCAACTTCAGCAAAGTCTCAGGATACAAAATTAATGTGCAAAAATCACAAGCATTCTTATACACCAGTAACAGACAAACAGAGAGCCAAATCAGGAAGGAACTTCCATTCACAATTGCTTCAAAGAGAATAAAATACCTAGGAATCCAATTTACAAGGGATGTAAAGGACCTCTTCAAGGAGAACTACAAACCACTGCTCAGTGAAATCAAAGAAGACACAAACAAATGGAAGAACATACCATGCTCATGGATAGGAATAATCAATATCGTGAAAATGGCCATACTGCCCAAGGTAATTTATAGATTCAATGCCATCCCCATCAAGCTACCAATGAGTTTCTTCACAGAATTGGAAAAAAACTGCTTTAAAGTTCATATGGAACCATACAAGAGCTCGCATCTCCAAGACAATCCTAAGTCAAAAGAACAAAGCTGGAGGCATCATGCTACCTGACTTCAAACTATACTACAAGGCTACAGTAACCAAAACAGCATGGTACTGGTACCAAAACAGAGATATAGACCAATGGAACAGAACAGAGTCCTCAGAAATAATACCACACATCTACAGCCATCTGATCTTTGACAAACCTGAGAGAAACAAGAAATGGGGAAAGGATTCCCTATTTAATAAATGGTGCTGGGAAAATTGGCTAGCCATAAGTAGAAAGCTGAAACTGGATCCTTTCCTTACTCCTTATACGAAAATTAATTCAAGATGGATTAGAGACTTAAATGTTAGACCTAATACCATAAAAATCCTAGAGGAAAACCTAGGTAGTACCATTCAGGACATAGGCATGGGAAAAGACTTCATGACTAAAACACCAAAAGCAATGGCAGCAAAAGCCAAAATTGTCAAATGGGATCTCATTAAACTAAAGAGCTTCTGCACAGCAAAAGAAACTACCATCAGAGTGAACAGGCAACCTACAGAATGGGAGAAAATTTTTGCAATCTACTCATCTGACAAAGGGCTAATATCCAGAACCTACAAAGAACTCAAACAAATTTACAAGAAAAAAACAAACAACTCCATCAAAAAGTGGGCAAAGGATATGAACAGACATTTCTCAAAAGAAGACATTCATACAGCCAACAGACACATGAAAAAATGCTCATCATCACTGGCCATCAGAGAAATGCAAATCAAAACCACAATGAGATACCATCTCACACCAGTTAGAATGGCGATCATTCAAAATTCAGGAAACAACAGGTGCTGGAGAGGATGTGGAGAAATAGGAACACTTTTACACTGTTGGTGGGATTGTAAACTAGTTCAACCATTATGGAAGACAGTATGGCGATTCTTCAAGGATCTAGAACTAGATGTGCCATATGACCCAGCCATCCCATTACTGGGTATATACCCAAAGGATTATAAATCATGCTGCTATAAAGACACATGCACACGTATGTTTATTGTGGCACTATTCACAATAGCAAAGACTTGAAATCAACCCAAATGTCCATCAGTGACAGACTGGTTTAAGAAAATGTGGCACATATACACCATGGAATACTATGCAGCCATCAAAAAGGATGAGTTTGTGTCCTTTGTAGGGACATGGATGCAGCTGGAAACCATCATTCTTAGCAAACTATCACAAGAACAGAAAACCAAACACCGCATGTTCTCACTCATAGGTGGGAACTGAACAATGAGATCACTTGGACTCGGGAAGGGGAACATCACACACCGGGGCCTATCATGGGGAGGGGGGAGGGGGGAGGGATTGCATTGGGAGTTATACCTGATGTAAATGACGAGTTGATGGGTGCTGACGAGTTGATGGGTGCAGCACACCAACATGGCACAAGTATACATATGTAACAAACCTGCACGTTATGCACATGTACCCTAGAACTTAAAGTATAATAATAATAAATAAATTTAAAAAAAAAAAGAACCTTCAAAATTGATTAATTCAGGACATTTTTGTGATCTTCCAGGTTAGAGATCAAACAGGGAAATGGCACTTATTATTGTAGAAATATATCTGTGTATGTTCATATCTGGCCAACCTATGGTTGCAGGAAAATCTGATTTTCTACTAGCTCTATGAACTTCAAAAATCACTTAACCTCGTTGAGCCTAATATTCCTCTATGTAATACAATTAATAATCTTTACTTTGCATCTTTTTTAATATTATAAATATATGCAATATGCTTATAATGACACATAATTCATTAACGTTAGTTATGGAAGTAGTAGCTTCTCTTTTATATGAAGATATTTTGTAAACAGAAAATATTTTCATTCATTCCTCCTGCACGTCTGTTGTGAAAATACATATAAAGTTATAAGGTGTAATAGCCCCAATTTGAGAGACGAGAAACGGAGAATAGACATATGCTACGTTTATATCTATTGCACACTGATTAAAATTCTATTAAATTCTGTTAATAGTTACATCAAAAGAGTATTTCATACCTTAATTTTAATAAATATTACTTCACTAAGCAAGATAAAGCAACTGAACCAATAAGAAATAAAATTCTGCATATAATATATAGTCTTAGGAACAAAAAAGCCAACAGGACATCTCTGATCTGATGTAACCATTTAATGACATGCGCAGGTGGCAGAATCTCCCTATATCTGATGACAGAAGAGTAGGAAATGAGAGCATAAAAGAATGACATACCCTAGGAAAAGGAATCTGGTCACATTCTTGACCTACTCTCATATGTGTTCTACTGTTTCTGATTTCGTGGTCAACATAACTCTAAACTTCCCACATTTCAACCAACAGTAGAAATGGGTAGAGAATAATGACTATGCCAGAGTCAAAGGTACCCACTGTCACAGCATCTGTCATTAACTGATAACTATCATTGGCTTTCTGGCTAATAGTGATCATTGGCTATTTCCTCCCCAAACCCTCCCAGACTCTAATAGGTACTACCTGTCATTAGAACCTAAGGTGGGAGATTTACAAAAATTCAGTACTTAGCATTGAAATTTCTTCTTTATCTGGTTATGTAAATGCATGTTTCCGCTTCTTTGTAAGAGCCTGTTGTTATGATAGCCTCACATAATTTGAGTTCCATAAATTATTTTTCTCTTTTTTTTTTCCTGTACTCAGCAGCCAAAGGAAATATAATTATCACCTTATTTATAAAGCTTCTCTTTTTTCAATTATGGTAATGTGTTTCTAACTTTCCATTCCTAATATATGACCCTAAATCCCACTTCTACACTTACTGTTAACACTTCATACTTGTCTACTGTTCTTTAACTAAAAGTCCTAATTCTCTGTTTTACATTTTTAGTAACATATGGATTAGTAAAAATGTGATTGTGATTTAGATTCAAATGAGGAATCTGATGAATGATATAAGCCTCTCATCTCCCTCACACAAATTATATATACAAACAAGTTTACCCATCAACTTAGAGGTTAGGATCACCTTCAAGCTTATTTTTGGATAAATTTACCAGCCAGAAAACCTGAATTAACAATGCTGTACATAGAGAATTTTGTAGCAAATTAATTTAAACTTACAAGACTCAGAATCAAAGAGAACTAGCTAGCCACTCTTCCTCTAAGTTGAGTGAACTTAATGATCTTATTAATTTTTCTGTACCCTACTTAACTCATCAATAAAGTTGGCTCACTTGGTGTCTAGAGGCTCCTTAGCTCCAATTATTAAATATTCCATAATTCTAATTGCTAAGTACTGTTAAATCATAACTCTCTACTATTCAAGTATGTTTTATTCCTCTGCAGAGGTTGAAATACCATGCATTGAAGCTTTGAAAATCACACAGAATATGCATTTACATCAATGGATGATCACATTAATACATCTTAGGTCAAATAATTGATAGGAGACACTGTATTATGATTAGGCATTTTACATGTATTATCTAACCGATATTCACAAAACTTTTGTATGGCAGTATGATCACATTTTATAGATAAAGAAACTGAATATCAGAGAAATTAAGTGGTGTTATCATAATCATATAAATGGCCATAAGTCAATCAGTGGCAGAGATAGGATTTAGATCCATGATCCATCATCATACATCATTTTCCACCATCACATTTCACTTAAAAATAGTATTTGATAAAGACATTTAAAAATGTGAATACATAATTTAAAATGTGCTTTCATGTTTACTTTTAATATAGGGTTTTTCAGTACGTTGAATCTATTGAAACAGCATCACACATCATTACCTGTGGTGGAAGCAGTGGCAATCTTATAAAGGCAAGGAGCATGCTCAGGTCGTTGCATCTACTCTGCATGTCATACTTGACCCACATCATCAATGCATGGAAAATGGTTTCTTCATCAGGAACATTGACATCATCACTGGCCAGTAGTTTGTGGAGCTCCTCAGCTGGAAGGAGTAAAAACTCTTGATTTCTGATAACTTCCATTATGTTTTCCTGCAGGGAGAAAACATCTTGGCATAAATTCTGTTTCACTTTTATTTAGCTAGTAAAGCATTTCAGAAAGAAATAAGAAAAGTAGTCAATAACCTTTGTTCTCATTATAACATAATCCTTGAGACTCAATCCTTCAGAAACTAGAAACTGTTAAGATGAAAGCATTGTAATTGTAATTGAAGTGTAAATGTATCCCAGACAGCACAGATCTTGTAATAAGTGGAGGATTATAATGCTGAGCTTTGTTATGCAGGCAGAACGTACTAAGTGATTACATGTTCAAGTTTCAAGTGTACTGCTATATAAGATTTGGTGAACAGGAAAAAATAACATCTCACATTTTTAAAAGCTTGACTATATATATAGACATATATATGAGAATCAGAAAATGACACTAAAATTGCATAGATAAAAGTAGCACTATAAGATGCACCACTGTTTATTCAAAAGAGAAATAATAGGACATATAGGCCACTGAAGTCACAAAATCCAGTATGTTCCACCCTACTATTATCTCTTTTCCCTCCCTCTTTTCATGACAATTTCTTTGGCTTAATTCATATTCCCATTTATTTTCTTCCTGATTGCTCCCATAACCTCTTAATTACGCTGCCTAACTCTATTCTTAGATTCTCAGTTTCATCCTCTATCATGATGCCGGAATAATATTTCCAAAACATAAATGTGCTCGTGGTTTTATTCTGAAGCTTTTGTTTGTTTTGTTTTGTTTTATGATTTCTCCTTATCTTTTGGTTCAAATTTATTGTTTTAGCAAGCTGCTGTTCATACCTTTTCTGGTTCTCTTTGTTTTTCAATTTGCCATCTTGTTTGACGTGTCCTCCCTCATTTACTCCATTGCTTAAAATGACTTTTATCAACCTTGCTGTTCTAAATTTCTGCCACATTCCAAGATTCAATCCAAGAGCTACCTATTATATATGGCTCCTCAAGTTTCTATTGAGTCCCATTCGAGCTGGTGACGCCTTCACTATCCCCTTATGGTGTGTAGTGGTGTATCCCTGCCACAGCAGATACCACATCACAGCCTAATCTTTGGTAAACGTAGAAATCTTTTCACAAATTTTAAGCTGTAAGACTCTGATTTATATAACCTTGTATATCTAGATGCTGGCACAAAGCCTAGAAAACAGCAGAGGAGCAGTACATATTTGCTGAATACATGAATTGATAATCTCTGTAGAGAAAAATAAAATTGTAGAAACAGCACAGGACAGTACAGTGTTTAACAACATGTTTTTAAAACTACTTGTCAAAAACTTTCTTACATTTTAAGCAAAAAGGCTTCTGTGGACGATACATGTTTAGAGAGAAGACAGAGATTCCGTTGTTTGGCCTTCTCTGCTCCACCTCTCCCCATGTCTCCTGGGATAGCTCCACTATATAACAAACACTTCTCAGGTTCTAGTTTTAAAGCCACGGTGGTGGCAGCAATATCCACAGGACACATATTTTAGTATAAAAACTGTAGTAGAGTGACACTAAGACTCTTGCAAAGAAGGCATTGTGACTATGCTAAACAGAGTAGAGGATTCAGCAAGTAACCATTAATCTGTATGTTAGAGCAGTTTCAAATTTATTTTTTGAGGAGAAACCTGGCCTGTGTTATAGTATATCCTTGGAGCTGAAGTAACTTCAGCTTTCACAAAAGGGCACTAACTTACTTTCTTTCAGGGTGTCTGTCATACATTTACATTAATTGTAAAATAATAATAATAATACTATTTATAAATAATGTCCCCAGAATAACTGAAAGTAGTTATTTTGGTTCCAGGACATTGTTTTGTTCTTTGTGTTTCCTTTGGGAGCTATGTAAATTATAGATGTCCAATAACTATTCACGTAATTAACAAATTAAGTGTTCTGGGATGTTTTGCCATCAGATTTTTCAAAAAAAAAAAAAAACTACGTTAAACTAAAGATGTTCTGAGGAATCTTTGAAAGATTTGTCCATCTGTTTTTCCAGTTACTAAAAAATCTATGCCTCCATTAAAATGCACACAGAACTCTATAGCTAGGCCATCAGAATATAGTGAGTGATATCATAAAAAACAGCTCTATGAAACTCCTAGTGGTGTCTGTCATAAAGATACTGTTCAAGGCATATTTCATTATATTTTATAGTGTCCTCTTTATGATGACCCTTGGGAGAAGTTTCTTTCAGGTTTTAGTAGCAAGAATAATTGCACTTCTCCTGAGTAAATTGGTTTGCTTTTATCATGGATGTTGTAAATTATGAAATTCATCAGATTTCTCTTTTTATTTGGCCTCCAGAAAACTTAGAGTCAAATTGAAATCTATCTGGTAGGAAGGCTATATAGACTTTTATAGTTTGATTTCTTTTTCAGACAGTTCTGATAATAGTTTCATTTAATACCGCTACAGCAGTTTTTCTTTTCTTTTTCTTTTTATTTCTGCATCTAACTTAGAGAATATTCCAGTAATTTTGTATTTTTAGAAGTTACACTAAATCTTTTGGTACCAGCAGCATTGTTTCTACAAACTGCTGCAAGTAAATGGGACCTTAGGAGCTGGTATCAGATCTTTCACACTTACCTACATATTATTACATAGGTGTTAATTTTTTTTCTTCTACATTTTATTGAATTTCTCAAGTTCGCCTTGTTTTCCTTTTTCCATCAAGCCTCATTTTAGTGATATTTTGTTTATTGTACCTACAATGTAGGTTCTGGAAATTGTTTTAACATCATTATGTGTTATTGCTAAAAGAGGAAATATAAATTCAATGAGTTTCTTACATTGCTTGCATATGTTAGCAAACTCCTTACTGTCTATGAAGATCATATAACAAGAGGCCTGGTTGCCTTTTGTACAATCTCTTTCTTAGGTTTATTCAGTCATCCATTCGGCATAGGTTTATTGAAACCCTGATATATGGCCCTGGTAATCATCGTAAGGACAAAATGGATTTGAATAAAAAACTTGCCATGTGGGAGACACCTATAAAAACTGCAGTATCTGGAAAATGATAGTAGTCAACTGTAGAATCCAGCTTTTCAAATGGACCTAGAATATTAGAAAGGAGTTTAAACCAGAAAATGGGAAATGGAGACATACAGTATTCTGGCCAGTGAAATACATATAAAGACGTAATAGCAGGGAGTATAGTATGTGATGCCATAGTTGAATATATTGAATCTCATATGAACACACATACATACATACACCCATTTTCTACATGTGGGTTAAAAATGCTTGTTATAAAGAAAGATTTTGGCTACAAACATAAGTTGCCATTTCATAAAACAGGATAGTTACAAAAATAAAGGCTAAACTACTATTTACTGTGGCTTCTTCCTAACATTTTAAAATAATTTTTCTAGCTAAAAAAATGTAGTTTTGTGTTATCCTGAATAGACGGAAGTTTTGTACTGATTTTTTTGTTTGTTTAATGATTTCCTGGACTTAATATAAACATATTTTCTAATATTCATTTCTTCTGTGCATTAATTAAATTATGGTCTTCCCCCATTAATTACTGTTAATAATATAAATATAATTGTTTTGAAATTTTATTAGAAATGTAACTTTTTTATCTGACAATTAGCTGTAAATTAATGGTAATATTGTATCAAACAACATAAGTAAATCCTTTCAACTATCATCTTTTTGTTATTAGGTTTAAAATATGGATGTTAAACTATAGCAACATATTTTATTATCATTTAAATAACTTTAATTTTGTTTACTTAATGAGTAGCTAATATCAAACCAACACATTATGTGCTATATGTTTAACTTAAGAACTCTCTCTCTCTCATGGAAGTCTACTGAGTTAAGACTTATGTCTTACCATCTTATATTCTCTGACCATTAGTTAATTACAGTCAACTCCTAGACACTGTTCTAAGCATTATGGAAGGAAGATAAATCCTTTGTCAGACCATTGCATAATCTCTGGCTTCATTTCAATGCACCAGAGGATATAGAATTTATTTAATTATCTGTCTAGTTAGTTATTGGTTAGAAAGATGAGTTCTTAAGAGGCTCATAATGCCAAGTACCTGAAAAAACAAAAGGAGATCCTGGAATTTGGCTACATCCTCTGGTTGAGGTTGACTAGGTAAGTATGAAAAATATAATCTTTGGGTCTAAGGTTTTGGGTCAAAGATTTTAAAATTTCTAATTCTGTAAGCATCCTTTGCAAGCGAAGTTTTGAGGGTTTCATGATATATGCATGGTTCTACTATTTTAAGGATTGAGATTGAAAAACTCATCTTTTGACTTTGGAGGCAATGTTTTACCTGTTATGTTATGTACTAGATTGAAATGAAATTTTCAATCTTCTATTTCGTTGGATCCAAAGGTACAATGTAGGCCACAGCGGCTGTTTCCCCAGAGGGCACAGGTAGTAAACCTTAGCCACAGCTTTGGTGTTCTCTACCAAACAGCTTTTTCATTTTTTACAACAGGGTCAGGTTGATAATTTTCTAAATCTTTAAGATCTGCTTCACTTTTGATTTTAAATTCTGTCTTTGAATTATTTCCATTTTCTTGAAATTTACTATAAGCAGTTGACAGAAGCAACGTGGCTCCTTCGATACTTGGCTTAGAGATTTCTTCTGCCAAGTATTTTGCCACTCACAATTTCTTCTTTCCACAAAACACTGGGATGCAAATACAATTCAGCTAAGTTCTTTGCCACTTTATAACAAGGGTCACTTTCCCTTCAATTACCAAAAACCTATTCCTCATTTCAATCTGAGACCTCATCAGGATGGTCTTTACTGTCATAGTTCTACCAACATTCTGATCGCAATGACTTAGCTAATCTGAGACTTTCTCTACTGTTATCTTCTGAGGTCTCACCTAAATTTCCCTTTACAGTTTGTTCAGGCAATATCAGTTTATTCTAGCATGCATTTCAAAACTCCTCCAGCCATTATTCATTACGTAGTTCCGAAGCTTCTTCCACATTTTTAGGGATTTGTTATAGTAACTCCTTACCCCTCAGTATCAAT